TGGCTATCTTCACTTCCAGAGCAAGAGTGTAACAGTTATTTTTACAAAAGCAAAATTGAGAGTTTCATCAGTGTTCTCAGGGCCTCTCTTTTCATCCCGTGATATGCAAATCATTCTCATTCAAAGCGCCTTTCATGTTGTTATTTTCATTTTCTCTGTTTTAGTTGTTACTTGGCTAGAAACAGAGGGCAGACTCTGGTGAAGACTAGCTTAATGTCGATTTGAGGTAATATTTGAATCTAGGAATAAAATATACCCCAACACACTGGGCTGTATTTTCTTCTTTTTACTTTTCTTCGTTAATGGCTATAAATGCATCATATCTGGCTGGGTGTGGTGGCTCATGCCTATAATCCCAGAGACTTGGAAGGCTGAGAGAGGATGGCTTGAGCCCAGGAGGTCAAGGCTGTAGTGAGCTGTTACTGCACCGCTGCACTCCAGCCTGGATGGCAGAGAAAAACCTCGTCTCTCAAACATTTCAAAATTTAAAAAAATTAGTGACACACATGGCTCATTCCTGTAATCTCAGCAACTTGGGAGGCTGAGGCAGGAGGATCACTTGAGCCCAGGAGTTCAAGGCTGCAGTGAGCTGTGATCACACCACTGCACTCCAGACTGAGCAACAAAGAGAGACCCTGTCCCAAAAAAAAAAAAAAAAAAAAAAAAAAATCACACTTAGCCAAATTGTAGTCACAATTTAAAGTCTGTGCAAATTCTAAACCGTATTTTTTGTAGTCATCTTTCTAGAATACTACAGTACTAGCTAGCGTGGACAAAGGGGATGGCTAGTGGACGGCTTGGAAGTCAGGAGAGCAGCTCTGCGGGTAGCATGACATGTGGGCTCCCACAGCTTCCATTTGGCCACCCGGAGAAGGCAGGTTTGAACTAGATGACATCTCATGAGAAACGCTCCATGTCGGGGCTTTATTTTGGAGTATGCAATTTATTCAGTGCATGCTCATGGACAACTAACCAATTACCTAAAAATGCTAAATTTCGGTTTTCATAGACAGAAAATAAGAGCCTTTAATCACTATATGTTTATTAGCACATTTCTGGAAAGAATGTGAGGCTATTAATCATAATAGTACTAGCTACCTTTCACCAAAAAGAGACTACCTAGGGCAGTGATTTTCAAATTTTTTGCAGAGCAAAACACCTGATATAGTGCAGAAATGTCATGAACAGGGTTCATCCATTGTTTTAAATAAAACAGTACATAGTAAAGGATTTAGGAGCCAGGTGCAGTGGCTTACGCCTGTAGTCCCAGCACTTTGAGAGGTCAAGGCGGGCAGATCACTTGAGGTCAGTTTGAGACCAGCCTGGCCAACATGGCAAAATTCCATCTCTACTAAAAATATAAAAATTAGCTGGGCATGGTGGTATATGCCTGTAGTCCAAGCTACTCAGGAAGCTGAGGCAGAAGAATCACTTGAACCCAGGAGGCAGAGGTTGCAGTGGGCCAAGTCTGCACCACTGCACTCCAGCCTGGGTGACAGAGCAAGACTCCATCTCAAAAAAAAAAAAAAAAAAAAAAAGAGAAAAGGATTTACTGATTACAGAACTCTTAAAACTGCTCTGTAAAACGCTGGAGCATGGGGCCAAGGTTGGGAAAGCAATGTTTCTGAAGGAAACACTGAGCATTTTTGAAAAAGACAGTAGAGATGCATTGATATTCATGGCTACAAATATAGAAAGGGATTCAACTATTTTGATGTAGAATGTTGTTGGTGGCTGGGCACAGTGGCTTATGCCTGTAATTCCAGCACTTTGGGAGGCTGAGGATCACCTGAGGCAGGTAGATCACCTGAGGTCAGGAGGTGGAGACCAGCATGGCCAACATGGTGAAATTCCATCTCTACTAAAAATACAAAAAATTAGCTGGGTATGGTGATGGGCACCTGTAATCCCAGCTACTTGGGAGGCTGAGGCAGGAGAATCGCTGGAACCCAGGGGGCAGAGCTTGCAATGAGCCATAAGATTGCGCCACTGCACTCCAGCCTGAGTAACAAGAGTGAAACTCTGTCTCAAAAAAAAAAAAATGTTGTTGGTGTCATATAAACAGTAAAAAGGAAATGATGTGATTTGCAGATTCACATGGAAGCAAGCTTTAAATGCAGGACACTCAGATGGAATTGTGGGGAGCTGAATCCCTAGTTTTAAGTAATTTTCTTAAAAAACATTATAACTGGCTGGGTGCGGTGGCTCACACCTATAATCCCAGCACTCTGGGAGGCCAAGGCAGGAGGATCACGGGGTCAGGAGTTTGAGACCAGCCTGACCACCATAGTGAAACCCTATTTCTATTAAAACAAAACAAAAATCAGCCAGGCATGGCGGTGTGTGCCTGTAATCCCCGCTACCCAGGAGACTGAGGCAGGAGAATCGCTTGAACCTGGGAGGCGGAGGTTGCAGTGAGCCAAGATTGGGCCCCTGCACTCCAACCTGGGAGACACAGCAAGACTCCGACTCAAAAAAAATTTTATAATTGATATAATTGTATCCATCTTTGTTCTCCCGTTTCAGGGTTTGAGTAATCTTTTTAAAAACGTAAATCTGATGTACCACTTCATTGCTCAAACCCTCCAATGGCTTCCCACTGACTCTCTGGATGAAGTCCAAGTGCTCACTGTGGCTCTTGCCCATGCCTGTCTCATCTCACGACACACTGATTTCCTTTCTCTCCAGTTCCTTGAGCACACTGAGCTCTTTCTTTCCTCAAGGCCTTTGCATATACTGTCCCCTCTGCCAGAACACTCATTCTTCTATACCCATCCTGGCCTATTCCTGCTTGTGTTTTACGTCCTCAATAATTTCCTCAGGAAGGACTTCCCTGACCACTGCACCAACCTCCCCCACTTCCCTGCCCCACCAATGTATTTTAGGTCCTCATAGTATTCTTGCTCTTGAGATGCTGTTTCTTTAACATCTGCCTCGTGCCTCATCCCCAGATTAAGTTTAAGAAAACAGTTTACAAAATGATGTAGTACACGATTCCAATGTCATGGGGAAATACGTGGAGAAATGTAACTATTGGGAAAATACGTGGAGAAATGTAACTATTGGAGAAAAATGTGGGGAAGTCAAAATGTTTTGATCCCTCCCTGTATTTCCCCCTGTGCCTTGCTCCTGTTCAGGAAGGTGGTCATCTCTTTCCATCTTCGCTGCCTCAGGGGAGGGATGTGGCAGCGGAAAACAGAAACCCTGGCTTTTCCAAAAGTAGCTAATTCAGTGGTTCCAATATCAGAATAGAAAAAACCGAGAAACATAGATAAATAATTCCGATTACTAAGTGCCATTACGCAAGCGCCATTTCTCTAAAGATAAAAGGGTCATTTCAAGTGAATATGTATTAACACTGCTCTGATAGATTTGCTATTCTTGGAAAAGTCTGGACGTACTTGACAAAGTAGATGTCTTGACTCCTGGTTGGATCAAACCTTCCTAAAACCCCTCCTTACTGTCTCGTCTGCAATCCGCATTCTAGCGTGGATTACTCTGGAATGCCGTAAACCTGGGGGTGGGAGTGGGAGGTGGCAGCGAAGCAGATGTCCCAGGGCTGTTTCTGGGCCTTGCTCTGCTCACCAAGGTAAGTCTACAGGCCACTACTGCATCGCCTCAACCACACACAGCAAGATGGCTCTAACGCAAAGCCAACAAGCTCCCAGTACTTCTGCAGACCTCAGCGGAAGTGAGAAATACGGTAATGGATACAAAACACTGTGCCCATCACATGGCAGGTGTGGTTTCACCAAGGACGAGGCACACAGAAGCTGGCCGCCTCCTGAGACTGTGCAGGCTGGAGAACAAGACTCTCAAGGAAGGGGTGCCCATCTCCAGGATGTGGAGGACCGCATTTCTAGGGCTGCCTCATGTACTGATCCCCACCTTCACCACCCTTCTGCCATGAGGCAGGAAATACATCATAGCCAACAGATTGCATGGAATCAAAATCAGAAGGGTCAAGAGAATTCCAGAAGCACAACTTATTTTCTGAATAAACATAAAATATACTTATCCTTAGATCGATAAGGCAGGTGGACACAATAACCTTCCTCAATCACCGAGAGTCCTAAACATAGCAGAACTTGCTTTAGCAAATGAAAGGACCCCGTTAGTGGGGCAACATGATGACCAAGAGGTAGGAGAGAAGGGAGGTGACGGGGAATATGTTCAACATTTTTGGCAACTAATTCTTCTCGCAGAAGAGGGGTCACCAGATAATAAAGGTAAAGGAGAGAGGAAGGAAAAGACTGGGGGCTTTATTCAGAAAGGTCTTGTGTGAGAAGTCAGTGGTGATCAGTTATCACCCTCTGTAGCTTGCAGCACCAGAGACACAGGAACATGACAACAACCTACTTCTCTTCTGATAAAATTCCTCAGGATCTTACCAGGACTTAAGCAACGAAGCAGATTAATTATTAAGGTAAACCTATCGGCCAAAGAGATCAAAGAAGGACACCCTCACCTACTCATTGGGGTTTATAACATTACACCCCACAATCTGAGATCCAAGGCAAGTCAGTGGGAAAGGTCATAACACATCAGTGTGAGTGCTAGGTATCAAATAGGAGATCACATAGTCACGTAACAAATACGGATTAAGCACCTACTGCGTACCATTGTTAACTCTAATGCAAATCCTGTGCTTTCTGGTGGGATATAAAGGGAAGAAGTGTCCTGGAGGAAACAGGGAGGAGAAAAACAAATCTGCTGATCTCATGGTTTTGCGGGTAGCAGTTTATGTTCATTTGTGTTTGATGCAATAAAAGTCAGCCTCAAGAGCATTCCTGTTCAACATGGCTGTATCTATCTGAGCACCTAAGCAAGAATCTGGCTGGAGCATAACTTGAGCAGAGAAGAGAATTCTGAAACAGGCTTAGAACATCTACCTTGGGTGAACCCACAAGTCTGCACTTAGATGAGTTTCTCTGCAGGGAAAGGCATTACCACCCAGATATGGTATACACAGGAGCACAAGACAACACATCAACACATACCTGGGGGGACAGGGCTCTGTGTTACAGGCCTGGCTCATGGCTGGAGGACGATGGATCCTATCACACAAGCTGTCATTGACCGTCTGCTGGGTCTGGCTGTGTAAGCACACTGCTATGGCTTCTTGATGACCTGGAGGTTGGAAAGAGGAAAAAAAATGCAATTAACATAGAATAATTCATTGTGGAAAAAAAAATAGAGTCTTAGGTCTTGTCATTCTTATCCCACTGCCCTTTTGACTATCATGGGGCTGCAGGCTACATTTCAGGGCACACCTGGGAGCAAATAACTTAGCATATCCAAAGTCTCCCAGTCTATGATACTCTCTCATTCACCTTTTAAATTCAGTCCCTTTACTCCCTCTCTCCCAAATCCAGGCCCCTTGAAACATTCAAGAGCATCTCGACTCCCCATCTACCCTTGGACTTATCTGCATTCCAAATGTACTCAAAGCTAGGAGTTCCCCCAAATAAGCCATCAAGGTGCTCCTTCCAAACAGTCACAATAGTTTCCCTCAGAGGAATTTTTGAACCAGCTGCTAAAGAATAACATTTTCTCTACATCATTGCATATGTGCTAAATCTGGCAGATACATAACTTCAAAATTTTACTTATGGTTTGAGTTCCTGTTCACTATGACCATATTTTCCTATTGCTAGGAAAAACAATAATAATACATCCTATTTGAAAAGTGTACAAACTGCTTTCACGATAATCTGTGAGGTCGAAAGATAGTGTCATTACCTTCATTTTATTAATTTGATAATAAGGAAACTGAGGTCTAGAGAGAAGTTGAGACAGCAAAAATGTGGTAGATTCAAGTCTAAAAATTAAATTCCCTGCCTCCTAATTCAGTGCTCTTTCTTTTGTACACACTCTAGGGATTCTAAAATACAATACAGCCAAAAAGTACAAGACGACTCCTTGTGAAAATAGGAACTTTCACAGGCATATTTTCCCTTTGAGGCCAGACAGGTCTGTCGGACTCCAAAGCCCATGTTCTCAACCAGCATTCTTTGTTGAGACACACACACACAAAAATATTGGGAGATCAGATGGAACGAAATGTAAATCAAAGTTCTGATTAAACCATCACATACAAAGTGTAATAGCAACTACGTTATCTGAAATATGCAAATGCATTCATTTTCATGCCAAAATGTGCGTTCCATCATGTCACAAGGTTGTGGGTCTTTTCCCAAATGCCACGTTTCAATTCAACCATTTTACAGTATTTTACAGGATGTAGTATTGGCCAAAAATACTTCTAAAATATATATTTGTGATGTTCAGTTCTTTCCAATAAATTTTCTCCTGCTGTCTTCAGTTGTAATTTTATGTTCCCTGCCATGGCAGGATGCAGTATTAAATCTGCACGTAGCTTCTATGAACTTTTAAAATAAACATTGGCTAACCTGAGATATAAGAAGGCATTGCTACGACTTAATAACTCTGGGTTTTATTTGCAAATATCAAAACTTAGTTACCTTGCAGAGGTTTAAATGTTCATTTTCTAGTATGTTTCATTTTTTTAAATCTGAGAAAAATCCAGTTATCTTTCAAATATACTTTAACTTGTAATAAAAATTCCTTACAAATTTTTAATTTGGAGACTATTCTGGAACACTTTCTCAATGAGTGGGCCTTAAAGCACCATTATAACCCATTCTGGATGTAATTGTACAATACTCATGACACACTTTTCTGTCTTAAAGCAAGTTTACTGAAAAGAATCTAGAAGTTTAGTAGACGATTTAGGATACTCATTGAAGTACAGTATATTTCCCAAAGATGGCCACAAAATAGCTCCCATCCTATCCATTGGCCCTACAAAGTTACTTTGACACCTCTCACTGTAAAATATTTGATTAAACATTTACCTTCAAAAATTAAAGTTACAAAAGTAAAAATTATAAAAATAAGTTTACCTCATTTTATAACAAAATTTAGGTAATAATTACAACTATGAATTTAGAACATAATACAGTAAGTGTTGAAATATTAGCATCATTTTTTGAATAAGTTCCTTTCGTAGCATGAGGCAACATCCCTTACTTCACATTTGACTTTTGCAGTGTTATCATGAAAGAGCCTTTTTCTTTTTTTTAAGAAAAATGAAAATATACGTAGCTTGTGGCAACATAGTGAGACCCCATCTCCACAAAAATATACAAAAAATAGCTGGGTGTAGTGGGCACGCCTATAATCTCAGCTACTCGGGAGGCTGGGTGAGATCACCTTAGCCCAGGAGGTTGGGGCTGCAGCGAGCTATGATTGTACAACTGGAGTCCAGCCTGGGCAATCCAGAGACTCTGTCTCAAAATATATATATATATACATTTTAGCCTTCATCAAGAAATAAATTAATATTTAAAAGGTAAAAACACAGTCTCCAAGAAAAGAAGCAGAGTCGGTAAACTAGCTGACACGTTCCTTTTGGTTGGTTGGGTTTCCGCCATTTGCAAACAACAGTCTTGACGACTTCAACATGTCAACAGAATATAACACACACATATACACAGAGCGTAACAAATACCAGGAGAGATTTTACAAATCTGTAGGCAGAGCCTTCTATGTGCCACTTGGCATTTAACACATCGACTTGTAAAATAAATAAAGAAAAAATAATTTGTGTAAGAAAATTACGTTGATTTAAAAATTAAGGAGCCTTGGGCCCTAGAAATAGACGCGACATGCTTTCTTGAAGCACCCATGGAACTAACAAAAACGGATTCTCTATTAGTCTAGAAAACTGCAGTCAGTTCCAAAAGTCATAAATGATGCAGGTAACATTCTCTGACTATAATATAGTCCAACATAAGTGAATAATAAACAACTATACTCCCCAACTCCACCCATTAGAATTTTTATAAAGCCCTAGGCCAAACAGTAGATAGATCACAGATTATTTGTGGCAGAAAAAAGGAGAACAGGGAGGCTTACAGCAACTTCAGACTTGATGAACAACTCTAGATAATGAATTTCCGTATCCCCATGAAATGGGTTTTGTCCCAAGTGAATCTAAATGATGTAATTTATTTAAAAATTATTCTAAGAACATGGACTGAATATCACAGTAAGTGGGGGGGAACTTGAAAATAATGTTGAACGTGGAGCCATGATGCTTCCCCTCAATCCCAAAACCACGGAAGGATTTAGACAGTTGTAGGAACTAGTGCTGCTAAACATTTTAAACAGGTGATTTCTATGAGGTAAACTATTTTAAAAAGGTATAGAAAATGGCAGTTCATCCACAAAACTACTCAAACCTGATACCTAAACCTACATGAGGAAAAAAATAGATCTACCTCATACAGTGTTGGCTTGTATAATGCTATATTATATATAACAATGCTCTTTGTTTCTGAAATACAGACATACACACAGGCCTAGGATCATACAGGAAAGAACGGTTAATATTTTTCTCTTTCTGCTGATTAGCTAATTTGACTGAAGGGGTACTACTGCAAAGTCCCGGGTAATGAAAAAGAGTGAAGCATAATATGTTACGGATCCAAAGGTATCCTGTTTGGTGTTAAAATGCAAATTTTGTAGCACTTCGAATAGGTGAGTTCTTTTTAGGAACTAGTCGAGGGGACAGCTGGTAAAGATTAAGGATTGTTGAAAGCCATTTGGCCTTAGGAAGGGCATCGTAAACCACTGGAGCCTGGGCGGAAGTGACCAATTATGTCAAGAGGAGCTGGAAGAAACTACGGCTTGAGGCCTGTCATGGTTTGAAGCGATTCGGAGAAAACAGAACGGCAGTTGCTAATGTACCATGTCGGGAACACGTCTCTATTGGGAGTACGCTCAAATAAGCCCATAGTGGGCCAATGCAATCTTTGTTCCTATTTTACCATTTGTAGAAAGGAATTCTTGTACTCCACTATCCAAAATAGAGTACATTTATATGCATCAGTGTCACTCATACATATATATATCCCCTAAAGTAAATAATAGCATATTATAATCAGCAGTATACAATTACATCGTTACCTCAAACATCTGTCATTCACCTACCAATCACTTTCAGCAAATATTCCTATGCACAAAAACACAGAAACAACCAGATGGGAACTTCCTTTTTTAAGCATACAAACCCCCCTACTCTCATAGCCTCACTAGCCTTTTCCCTGCCTATTACAATCAGAAGCCGCCCTTCCAATGATTTAAGACCGATCTCCATGACTGTGCTTGAAGGTTCATCCCCTTCCATCTTCTGAGAGAACTGATTGATTCCTTTGCCTTTCACTTTCATTCTGGGGCTTTCTTGTTGCCTTTTAAATGTGCCCAAGGCTCTGCGACATTAAATACCACCAACCCTCACCCACACCCACACAGATCTCCTCAACCCACAAGGCCATCTTAGTCATCTCCTCTCTGTCTTCTTTAACACGGCCAAATTTTGCTGCAAAAAAAAAAAAAAAATATATATATATATATATATATATATATATATATATATATATCTCCTCTATTCATCTCCACTCTGTCACTTACCATTCTTTGCTCCGCCCCTTCACATCTGGTTTCTATCTCTGCTCTACCACTGAAATGACCTTTCCTTCGGTCCCCAGTGGTTCACATTGCTGAACCCAGTGCCAGTTCTGAACCCTCGCCTCTCCGCCGCTGCATAGCACACAACACACGTGGCCTCGGTTCCCACCACACCACAGCCTTCCATTTTCATCAAATCTCGCTGATCTTCTTCTCAGACCTTGGTGGCTCAGTGTCCTCCACCCAGCCACTGAATGCTGCATTTCCTCAGGACTTAGTCCTAGACCCTCTGCACTCCTCATAGGTATTCCCCCGAAAATTCTCATCCATTCTCCTGGCTTTTAATCCCTGGATACACAGATGATGCATCAATGTACAATTCCAGTTCAGACAGTGCCTCTTCACTTCAGACTCACACATCCAACTGACTACTTAGCATCTCCACTTGGAACTTGGGAGGCACCTTAAAAGCATTATGTCCATAAATGAACTCATGAGTTCCCTCACCAACGTTTAGCACGCGCCATCTCAGAAAACAGTTCTAGGACTCAGACTTGCCATCACACTCCTGCTTACCCACTCCACTGACGGATTCTTTTATCTCCTCTCTCAAAGCCATCTGCCATACTCCGTCT